ACAAAGTGGTGGCTGCTAGCCGTGTTACGGGGAAATTGTGGATCACTGGCTGTTAGCCATGTGATAGGTAACACAAAGTGGTGGCTGCTAGCCGTGTTACGTGAAAACTGTGGATCACTGGCTGTTAGCCATGTGATAGGTAACACAAAGTGGTGGCTGCTAGCCGTGTTACGTGAAAACTGTGGATCACTGGCTGTTAGCCATGTGATAGGTAACACAAAGTGGTGGCTGCTAGCCGTGTTACGTGAAAACTGTGGATCACTGGCTGTTAGCCATGTGATAGGTAACACAAAGTGGTGGCTGCTAGCCGTGTTACAGATGACAGTCCGATGATTGGCATGCTTGTTTGTGTGCATGCGCCCTGATCGGAACTTTACTTGCATTAGGGCAAGAGGTCATGTGTATGGATGCTTCCCGAGAGCGTGAAGCATGTCAGGCTGGCCGTGTTAGCGGCAGTTTATTTTTAAGAGTGGTCAAGGGTAGTTTACCCGAGACCTCTCGTTTCTTTAATGGTTTTGCAATAGGGACCCAGCTTACGTGGGCCCTAAAAGACTTTGCTAGGGTAGCGACCAGATGGCGGGTGGCCCGAAGCCACGCGGCTATTAAGGGTCATAAAACACGTTGTCCACGAGGAAACGTGGAAACAGTAAAAAAAGGTAAAGCGGCTAGGCGCGGCCTAGCGCTAACAAATATAAAAATTGTTGTTAAGGATCTGGCCACGGAGTGGGGAAGGCAAGGGTGCCTTCTGGTAAGAGGACTGTGACGAACAGCATGGCACTTACCTCAGATTCTTGAGTCGGGTAACATCTAAACTCTAACATGCTAAACGTTGAACTGGACAGGGCAGATCTCAGTCCAGTTGGTTCTCGTAAATGCTAAACGTTGAACTGAACGTGTCAGATCCCTGCAAAAAAAAGCTGGGGGCAGCACTAGTATGGGGAACACGCAAAACCCGGCCGTGAGCACTCTCATTTCCTCTCTGATTCTTCCTAGTGTAATTATTCTTATCCGGCATCAAAGGCGGCGCGCTCGCGCGCCTTAACTGACAACGTTGATCTTAAACAAAAGGAGTTGATTAAAACGAGACAGTCTCGTCAATTGTTTCGACGATCCTCTCGGACGATGGGTGCATCAGGATTCTTCCGTAGTCTGGTCGTTGTCCGTGAATCCAATAAATCAGTGATGAACACTCGAGTCCATCGGACGTTGTTTACCATCAAAGCAAAGCGAGTGCGATGAGATGATCGATCGATGGCCACCACCGGATTATTTCGCCTTAGTCGCGTTTTATAAACGAAATGTTTGTATACGTGCTGATCCGAAAACAACATCGTATTCGTTCGTCGCTTCGAAAGTAGTACGGACTAATTCACGCATACCACTTCATTATTCGAGAACAAGTTCACCGTGAACATTTGATCCTCCCCTCAAAATGTATTACCACGCTACCATCTTGTTTTTGTTTCGTATCGATTCCTTTCGACGGAACGCCAGCCGCACTCAACTGTTAAAACTTTTCAACGTGGAGATGCACAAAGTTGGTAGGAGACACACTGAAACGGACGGATTCTCGTACCTTCTCTCTATGCCAAAATCGATATTTTAAGGCGTCTCCCTCTTCGCACCGCCCACTCCTCCTGCCACGGCAAACTTCCTGTTTACGGAGTACATAAAGGTTATGTCCACCGAGAGGAATTATCACTAAAAACGGAGTCCCATTGGCACAGGCGAACCCGTCTCACGACGGCCACCTAGAAAAGATTCGCTTTTTCCACCGCACGTTCTTTCCTTCCTTCCTTCCTTCCTTCCTTCCTCGGTATTAGATCACTGGGAAAGTCTCTCGGAGACTCGATCGGAGGTATTCGGCCGCGTGCCGAAAAGTACCGAGCCGCGTTCTATATAGACCCCTCCGTATCGAGATTTACGAACGCCATAAAAAAAAAAAACGCCGGAGGAGATTGCTAGCGGCACGATGCACACACGGTATTCAACGACACCAGGTAAACTCGATGACCAGCACCACGCTCGACGACGAAACGCGTACGTCGCAAAAGTTCGAACCGAACAGGAGGAACCAAAACGCATTCCTAGGTCCCTCGTGATTCTTCCTCGTGTACCATGAGGCGGCCGTTCGACGACGTACACTTTACCAAGAGTTTCCCTCGTTCGATAATACTGGTTGATCGTTGCTCGAAGGGTGTTCGACGTATACGTTCGCAGTGTTCGCACCTGTGTGATGCGTCGACTCGGAGAGGGGAGAGGTAAATTAACGAAGACGTGAGGTCGAGCGTAAAAATATTTTTGTTCACATAGAAATCGTTCGGATACACTGTCCATATTTTTATGATAGATTCTTATTGTCGCAAGAATTGTTCATGAATTTTTTTCAGATTTTTAGGTTTGGTGCGTCAATGATAAAAAAATCAAAAACTATGTACGTCTCATGTTGAAGTACGTAAAAGAAAGACGCGCTTCCAGCGGCGGTAACAGCGAAGGGGTGATGACTTAAGGCCACCGATTGCTACGTATTTTTTTAACGTAGGCTCGCGCTCACTCATGCTCCTGGTGAATCGACCATAACGATCGGAGTGATATATATTCCTCCAAATATCAAAGTCACTCCCGATATACTTGACAAATTGATCAGTATTGGTGCCCTCTTCCTAATAGGAGGAGGCCTAAATGCAAAGCATAGTTCCTGGAATAATTTCGTATATAATCAGAGTGGAACAGCTCTATACAATCATTGCTCAAGAAATGCATACGATATTTTGTACCCGGAGGATTTTACACGGTTCCAACCTGGGAATAGACCGTCCACAATCGATATCTTTCTGTCATCCATAAATCGAGTGTTCAAGTGTGAATCAAGGTATCAAGGACCCTCGGATTATACACCGATAGTCCTCACGGAAACGAACGATACTTCCAGCCCTGGTATTCAATAGACTGGTGTAGATATAGCTCTCTCACAGAGGGTTTGACTATTAAAACAAGATTTCTAAACTCAAACGACATAGACGAAAAAATCGCAGATATATCCAGACTAATGCATTCGGCTGTTAAAGCAGCAACATACAAAGTAAATTCGGCTACAAATAGACATAAGTTTCTGAAGAATGACTCATATTTAGACACCCTTGTCAGACGTAGGAGGAAAATTAGAAATCTGGCCCAAAAGCTCGGAGCCTCTCACTTCAATTTAATAGTTGCTGATTTAACAGCGGAAATTAAAAGACAAATTACATATCTCAGGCATCTGGACTGGATCAAAAGAATTGGCTTTTTCCAGAAAATTGACCCGACCTTCTAGGGAACGTTTAATTCCATGTCTGGTAAATTTCAGAAGGCTAAACTTTCTATAATGCGTAATGAGGGTAAAAATATCACTGCTGTTCAGGAAAAAAGCGAATTATTGGCCGATCACTTCGAGATGGTGCTCCGTGAAGCTTCTGCCATGCCCTCTCCTAAACAGAAACTCGTAGATGACTTTGTAGGCTCCTTGGACAGGTCGCCTAAGCTGACCAGTGAGCTTTACTCTGATCTCTCACCCAGGAGGATTCACACCATTTTTAGAGGGCTCCGTAACAATAAGGCACCGGGCAGGGATAGACTCTCGGCCCTCATGCTTATAAACGCGTCCAAGACATTAACATGCCAAATGTACTACATATTTGAGGCTTGCCTTGCCTTTTCATATTTTCCTGTGGAATGGAAATTGCCAAGGTCGCACCCATACCCAAACCTGAGAAGCTGAAGGATCTCGCTTCGAGGTATAGGCCAATTAGTCTCCTATCTGTACTGGGAAAGGTCCTAGAAATAGTCATCCTGGATGAAATCAAAAAACATCTGGAGGCTAATAAAATTATCATTTCCCAGCAGTTCGGTTTCCGTAAAGGACACTCGACTCTGCAGCAAAAAACTAGGATCTCACAAAACATAACTAATGCCTTAAATACTAACAGGGTTACTGCTATGGTGCTGCTTGACCTGACCAAGGCATTTGACTCAGTCTGGCTCTCGATGCCCTAATCTATAAACTAAATATACTCGGTTTTCACCCATCAATAGTAGCAATGGTTTTCAATTACCTCAGTAACAGAAAGTTCTACATTTTTGCGGACGGCTCCATCTCGAGTATGAGAGATGTCAATGCTGGGGTGCCTCAGGGATCTATCCTGGGTCCGGTGCTCTTCAACATTTATATAAACAACATTCCGTCTATGTTTAACTGTGAAATAGCGCTTTATGCAGATGATATGCCCTCATTACCTCCTCAACGCAAATTAAAACGGCTTGTGGTAGACTACAAACGTTCATTAATCTAGTCACGGACTTCTTCGAGTCCTGGAAGTTATCGGTCAATCGCTCTAAAACGGAGGCAATTATCTTCTCCCATAAAAAACAAACTGTCGATACCCAACTGTCCGTTCTGGGAGTACCTGTGGGCTGGAAGGACACGGTGACATATCTCGGAGTAAAACTCGACAGAAAAATGACTTGGATACTAGTCTTGACCGACAGGTGCCTTAAAACTACTAAAGTTGCTGCTGCACTAAAACCACACATTGTGCATGAATCTCTTTTGCGGGTTAGAATTAGATTAGAGAATTATAAAATGTGTATTCGCCCAGTGCTTGAATACGGAGCGATTGTCTAGTGGGACTGCATTTCTCAAACTCAAAAGTCTAAAATCCAAAGGGTACAAAATAAAATCCTTAAAACCATCACGGCTGCCCCAAGGCTTACCAGAACCTTTGACCTCCATAAAAATACCAAAATCCCTTTAATAAAGGAACACATCTGCAAATTAATGCAAGGGATCAATTTTGACCTCGCTGATAACCCGCTAGTCAGAAACATATATGCATTAAAAATAACACCAGTATTAAATTAATTTATTAATTTTCTTTATTATTTCTCCTCATCGGATAAAAATTGGGCCCTTAAACTATCATCTAGGATGGCTCGAATTTTCTCCTTCGTCTCCATCCAACGCGCATCCGATAGGTGCTTATATCCCGCGAGGATCGATTTTGCGTGTGCACGACGAAGATCTTTTTCATTTTCTTCGCGTCGCATTTTCTTTTTTGTTATTCTCGTTTGGCAAAGATTTTCCAATTGATCCAAAGCTATCATAACATTCCTCTTTCTTAAGTTTGTTTTTTCTTCTTTCCTTTGCAATCATTGTTTGCCGCTGCCGACTTGGCCTGGATTTAAAAAAAAGGTATATTAATCATTGTACTGAAAATTACTTGCAACATTTGTAATCCTCGAAGAATTAATCGATATATGTATTGTACTTACTATTTACACCCAACGTCCTGGCTTCGTCGCTGCCACTCTCTGAGTTGTTCTTCACTGTTGGATTCGTCGCTGTCGCTTGGGACGTCTAATAAATTAGATATTGTGCGGCACAGTGCCATATGCGGCTCTAAAAATTCCAAAACTTTTGCGTATTTGTACGCCTTTGTTGTACTTGCAGCTTGACCGCTTCTCGTTACGTTATCCTTCTTGGATTTTCGAAAAGAATCTTTCAGATTCTTCCACTTATTCTTAGCTGTGGATGCAAACATATACGTATGAAGAATGTACAAAAAATATTGTGAAAATACAGAAAAAATAAAAGTCACTTACCACTCATATTTAATTTTCTTCATATATCCAGCCAAATCATTTATTTCTATTTAATATTTAAATATTCTTTCGACGTAGCGTCGTACAGCACCGGATGCTCGCGAACGTACGAAATAAACTTCTCCGTAATGTCAGTTATTTTTTCAAAATCACAGAACTCCACTGAACATAAAATGCTAAGACACCTTACGACTTTCCACGCCAGCCAAAAAACTACGACTGAGCCTGTTGGACTTTTAGTCTCATGCGTTCCACCTCTAAATTTTGTAACTCTTTCTTCTCTCCTTGTTTCACCGTTTGCACAACAGCTAAAAACATTAAAGATGAAATATACAATTTAATTTATATAACATTTTATTAGTTGCTTATTAAATATAATGTTGCTTACCAGCGTCATCGTTTATTGCAATTTCCGATTCTGAAATTGTTTCGGCAACTTCCTCACTGACGGCTGCTTCGGAAATGTCCTCCATCTCTTTCGTATCATTAATCAAACTTGCCTTCGGGCCGCTACCGCGCCCCTTGATGCTGTTGTCCTCTGTATTATTTGAAGTATACAGAACAGGCGCTGTGTACATGAGGTCCGGTGTTAACGCTGCAATATAGGGATCTGGTTGAACTGTTGAACTGAGCGGTGGTCCTCCTTCCGTTCGCAATACGTGCTGCCATTCCTTCGTCAGTACGTCTCTGTGCTGCACTTTTAAGTTACTCCAAAACTTTTTCAGCTGAGCGATGGTCCTCTGAAACAATTGTTTTTAATTAACACCCTAAATTTATAGTGCAATAACAAACATTCGAGTCATGGCTCTTTGAAAAATTTGTTCATAAATAAGAATCAATAATGTTCTCACCTTCGACGAGATAATTAAACTGGAGTTGTACTCCTCGTGAATCAGCTGCCACGCTGTCATGAACAACCTTGAACGTTCGTTGTTCTGACCCGCGTGTGAAAATCAAAGGTAATTTGATTCCCACGATTTCGTAAATGATTATGTTGATGACGAAAAATACGAAAATAATCTTCAATTTGTGTTATGACCTAATCGTACCGTAGGTGGTAAGACAGGTTAGTTATACGTAATTCGATTTTTCTGGGTTGAATTAAATAACACAGATTTTGAGGGAAAAAGTCATTCGGCATAAAAAAACCCTAGTTTATTTTTACATTTGATTTTGCTGACGATTAATCAAGAAGTTTAATGAACGAATGGTAATCAATGGATTTCACTAGTACGATCTTTGATCTGCCCATATGTTGGCAGTAGCAAGCTCATGTCAAAATGCCTCGATTCGTTCGGCAAATGACGTCGAGCTGCACAGAAAACCATGCCTCGAATCGGTCGGCAAGTGACGTTCAAGTTGTCTGGGAATTATGTCTCGATACGGTCGGCATATGTCGTCCAGTTAACTGACAATTATGCCTCGAATGATAGGCAAATGTCGTTGAGGGAATCCGTTGTGATTCCACAAGCCCGAACGGTGGCCGATAGATTTTACTTTACTCGAATGTGGATCCGTCGCGATTTCACTAGCCCGAACGGTGGCCGAGGGCCGCACGATGCCCAGAGATTTCGTATGTTGCACGCATTCTTGTTCTTACTAACTCCTCTCACGAACTCTTCTTACTAACTCTCCTTGATGACTGCCCGAATGCTCCTTCGGACCAACCGTCCAACCGTCAAACAGACTGTAGTGGGGCAGCGGAGTTGGAAAAATACACCCTGATTGGTGATTTTTAAGCGTTGAGGCCCAATCAGTCTGCTCCCTGAGATAACCGTTCTCTCCTTTCCCTTTGTGAAGTCTTGGCCTGACGAGGGGTGGAAAACCGATAGAAATGTATACAAATTTCCAACGCTTGACGAGATAATGGGCCTTGTCCTTCGTTTGGGCTGGCAATCGGTTCTTGGAAATGTGTTGAAGTGCCTTTTGCTTCGAGGCAACTCTGTTTCCTTTTCCTGTATGACTAGAAAATGCTATTTGGTGACGAGTTAATCCCTTTTAATGCTAACGAGTAATAAACTCTGTTTTTTCCATTGAAACGGACGGAACACACGCTTCTTTCTTTCTTTGAAGTGTAGAATTGTCACTTTTCCTCCCTTCAACTACACTTGAATATTTTTTTAAAATTTGTAAGAAATAAACAATCAGTGTAGTGCTTCCGTCATCAGTGTTTGTAGTGTCAGTGTCATCTGTTTCGTCTTGTACAATTACATTTGCTATCTCCATAGGAATTGGTTTCCTCTTATACATTGTGGAATTGAATAATTTTAACATGTCCGTTGTTACAATATATTTAAATCAATGTTCGACTCTAATTTGCGTTCTAAATTATAAAATCGTTTAAGTGCTATCTGTTTACTGTTGCCTAAAATGCTTAATTTATCATTAAATGATAATCTAACAATGTATCGACCATGCTCATTACGCGAGGTATGTTTCGTAAAATGTGCTTCACATTCCCTTTCTTCCGTTGACAAGATTTTCCTTTCTGGAATTTCTTCCATTGTCCAAAATTTACTAATTTGTGTATCAAGGCACGTGGCTAAGTGACACGCTCTAATTGGTTTACTTGGTTTCCTAACGTTTACTTCACCGGTTACTATCCATCCTAAATCTGTGTTTTAAAGAATAACCGAAGCCATACCGACCAATTCAATACGTTCAGCCTTCAACAAATTATAAAATAATGCGCTGCCGATAAGTGCATCAATTTCTCCTGCTCTGTAGTATTCTGAATCTGCTAATTCAATGTTCTCCGGAATACATAAACTATTGGGATTAATTGAACGCGTTGGTAACATGCCCGTAATTGAGGGTAACGCGATGAATGTTACCTGCGCTTCAAAGAGACTCGTTCGCGACTATATCTCTATCTATCTTTGATCATCTTTACACAAAGAGTTTTGAACAAAGAGATGACAAAGATAAAGAACTATATTTGGCCGTCGTGTTAAGGATGTATTGGCTATACAGTCAATCCCAAAAGTTTATGCATTTTTTAAAAAGAAATCAGACGTCGGAAGAACATTACTGATAATAAACAACCAAAAAAAATTTTCGATTTTTCCGAGATTTTTCCAAGGGGTACCCCTTCAGATTTTGCAAAATTTTCGTTTTTTGCCGATAACTCCCAAACGGATGGACTTAGGGGGGAATTTGTAGAACCATTTTATAGAGGACGACGAAATCTATAATTTCTGTAT